ACAATTGAGCTGACTCATGCGGAAACCAGGGGCTAGAAGCTCAGTCTGCATCTCCGCCATGGATGAGCAGGACCCGGACATTTGCATCATCCCCTGTGCACATTCCTAGCAACTGGAATCGGGAGCAGAATGCAAGCCAGGCATTCCAGCATGAGACAAAGGTGTCCAGGGTCTGAAACAGTGCATGTAAACACTGCCTCAGATTGTGGTTTTAAAGTTCAAAATAATGGGTTTTTAGTCCCAGCAAAGTAAACAGAATAGCAAGGTGAAAGAGGACAGAGTCATAGCAACCAAGGGAAGAGATCAGAGAGGATCTCTGAGAGGCTGCCAACCTTTTTGGAAATGTCAAGAAAGCATTATTTTTCACCGTAGAACTTATCATTAGATTGCCAAAGAGAATCAGCAGATGTCAGAACAGTTTCTTCTTAACACTTCAGGCATACTTTAACTTATTGTTGAATCCATTTTGTATTAAACTTAAAAACACTGAAGCATATTGAGACCATTCCTTGTCAGTTCGACGCAACCCATTTGATTGCAATGTATGTCAGCTAATTATGTTCTCATAACTGTTATGAACTTTAGTGGCTGGGTTGAAATGTATTAAAAATAGCACTGGAAAAATATTTTCATTTTATGGTACTCAAAAAAGTTTAAGAGCCTATGAATTTTAGTATGTAGTAGAAGCAACTTAATTACTTTCTGTTGATTCTCAAAGGTTGTGATTCTTACGGAATTAAGTGGATAAGGTTTAATAAAATATATGCTTTTATCCACTTGCCTTTCACGTTTTTTTAATTACAGTATTTGCTGCATGTGGGGCCTTTAGCAAAGGTACTATTTCACCATTGTATGGGATTCTCACCTGGACAGCAGGTTGTCTTGAGTTTCAACTGCATTTACAAGGTTGTGCTTTGATTCTGGCATATTCTATGTATTTGAATTGTTGCAACATCTTTGTTTAACTATTATGCCATAATGAATGTTATCTTCTGTTAACAGGAATCACTTATTTCAACACTTTTTCTCATTACTGTGTCATGCTCACTGTGTGGTTTCTTCCTCTATCATCATGTTATACTATTTTAATGTTGTCAAGTCATAGTAATGTTTGTTTGAAAATACTTGGTACAAAAGTTTTACATATTTTTATCTATTAAAAATAATATGGCGTGATTAGGTGTCCCAACAGATATAATGCCACTTAGGTGATTATGCCAGTTCAGGTAAAATGGTGCAGAAATTAACATGGGCAAGCTAAGATGATGATTATTCAGATGGTTACTAATATACTGTGTTATATTATCTGTTATGATCAAAATGAAAACAGGCAAAACAAACATTTTGGCATAGAATTAAAGACACCCCCAAGAATTTAGTTTTAGTGTTCAGTTTCAGTAACAATTAGGCTGGAAATGTTGTAGAGAGATGAAGGATTCTGCTGAACAGCATCAAAAGCAGGGATTAGGCATATGATTTTGTGGGCATCACAGTAATTGAGTTCACCTGTGTGTTAACAGCGGTCGTCACCATCGGGCTTCCACAAGCCCAGGATCTTGGCTCTCACCTGCAGGTAGCAAGGGTGCAGAAGAGGGAGTTGGGATTTCCATGTTGTCATCAGGACCCAAGCTCATTTGGGTCACTCTTACTGTTAGGTTGTCATTCCCCTCCAGTCATGTTTCCTGCCCCGCCCCCAGGAAGAAAGTGAAAGGACACCAAGTTAAAAAAACGAGACTAGTCTTTGTTTTGAATAGAGGCCTTTCTCAAAAGAACCCACTAGTGACTTGGTTTTATGTGTCTTGTCCACAGCTGTGTCCTCGGACTAGTTAGTCTCAATTGCCATGACTCCCTCTAACGAGTAAGAGTAGACAGAGCTCTCTGTCACCCCAATTGAATAGCCGTGTTGAAAAGCTCAACACTTACACACCCCTTTTTCTCTTAAGTCACATTTCTACTACAACTAAAGTTGTGTGGAAGGACCGTAAAGTCAGTCCCCAGTTACTGGAGTAGGAAGGAGCTGTAAGATCATGTTGACATGTCCTGTCACTCTAGACTTAGAGGTAATGAGTGACTTGTGTGAGGCCACATGTGTAATTTCTGACCTTGAGTTACAGGTTCTCAACGGCCACACTAGTGATCTGTTCTCTGTGTATGAACTCTGCACACGGTCGCTGGCTGCATGTATACACCTGTGTTTCAGTTATACCACTAGAGACAAAGACACTATGATTCCTTGAGTGATTACAAGAAAAATGACTGCATCCACTGGTCCACTCCTGAATTGGCTACAGTGGCTGTGGCTGGATCGGACAGAAGCAGGAGCTTCTTCCTGGTCTCACATGGGGCCCAAACACTTGGGAAATCTTACATTACTTTCCCAGGCATATTAGCAGGGAACTAGATAGGAAGTGGAGCAGCTGGGACTCCAACCAGCACCCATGGGATACTGGCAGTTGCAGGAGGTAACTTGGCTCGCTATGCCACAGTGCCTATTGCTTATTTGAAGATCTTACATGTTTGGTTTGTTAATGTTTATGGTATTGGTGGTGGGTTCCCCACCCCCCATTATTTACTTGAAACCAACTCTTTGCTAGACAACAAACTATGTAATGCTTCAAGGGCAGGACCTTGTCTTGTTAATTTGTGTATTTTGACACAGTTTCTCATTGTTGAATGAACAGTGAAATCATAGTGCTCACCCTCAAGTCACGTCTAGGAGACAGATAAGAAAATCACTGAATGGGCCCGGCGCGGTGGCGCAGTGGTTAAGGTCCTCGCCTTGCATGCCCGGGATCCCTTGTGGGTGCAGGTTCTATTCCCGCCAGCTCCACTTCCCATCCAGCTCCCTGCCTGTGGCCCGGGAAAGCAGTCGAGGACGGCCCAAAGCTTTGGGACCCTGCACCCGTGTGGGAAACCCGGAAGAGTCTCCTGGCTTCAGATCAGCATAGCATTGGCCGTTGCGCTCACTTGGGGAGTGAATCATCGGACAGAGGATCTTCCTCTCTGTTTATCCACCTTTCCAATAAAAATAAAATAAATCTTAAAAAAAGAAAAGAAAAGAAAATCACTGAAGCCAAAGCTGCACAGGCAGATTCCTCAAGAGACAACAACTGCGCGGGTGAGGGAACCCAAAGAAACCTTGGAGGTAGCAAGGAGTCTGGAAGGGCTGCACTAAGAGCTAGCTCCAGGATCCATCTGAAGGGGCTGCACCTCAACTCAAGCCAGAGAATGAGGTGTGTGAGAATCAGTGGGAATAGGGGAATGCAGAATGCCACATCACAAAGACCACGGTAATTTGTTAAATGGCTTGAATTTTCTATCCCCACTGATGAATGAAGAGCCATGGAGGCAGAGTGAGAAATAAGGCTCAGATGTGCAGTTTGGCATAGCCACCTGGCATTCTGGCTACCTTGGTTACTCAGTGCCAAGGCCGCCTTCAGTGCAACACCTGCCACTTCAGCTAATTGGGGCCAACTAAGCCACATACAAAGATCGCTGAGCCTCTCACCCTCATTCCCTCCAGGATTTTCTCCTGGCAGAAGTGGTAACCTTTCTGCTCACAAGCTGATGCCTTACCCTTTTGCAGTGCGTTGAGTTGTTCTCATTCTCATGCAGTCACAGACTCACAACAAGTGATGTTTATGTGCATGTGTATGTATGCACGTATTTGCAAAACAGAAAAAGAGCGAGAGAGACATGGCAAGAATGCTTCCATGTGCTGATTCGTTGTCTAGATGCCCACAACGGCTGAACTGTAGTGGTGGGGGTGAGGGGGACCAAAGACAGGAGCTGGAGCTCAATCCAGGTCTGCATTTGAACTGCCTCCCAGGATCTGCTTTAGCAGGAAGCTGGAACCAAGAGCCTGAGCTAGGCGCTGGCAGCCTAACCACCAGACCAAAAACCTGCTTTACAAGTAGTTCTTTTTGACACCTAATGAATCATGAAAAACGATTCATCCTGTTTGGTTGTTGGTTATCCTTGGGTTTATGTGCATCTCAGAGAGATGAATATACTGTATTGACCTTTTACCTCCTATTGTGGCATGAAAGACAGGATTTCAGATGGTCAGGAGGTGGGAAGCCTGATCCTAAGAGTGGTTTCAGCATGGATTTTGGCCTGTCCCTCCCACAGGTTTCCTGCCATTCTGTTCTTTCCCCATTCCCTAAATGTAGTCCCTCAGTTCCTCCATAGAGTTCAGGTTTCCTTGTGTTCTGATGTCCAGCAGAAGTTTGTCTTCCCTTCTTTGATAGTCACACTAGAATGGAGCCAAGCGTCCTTGGTTGTCTCTGCCTCTGTCAGTGCAGTTTTTGAAGACAAAGAGTGACATTGGATGTGCATCCTCTTGGTTAATACAAGTGGTGGCACACTTCACACCTTTTAAAGCTAAGTGATTGAAGCTGTCTATGACTGTGGAAGTTAAATGTACCTTGAAAAATACACTCTTTCATTGCTTTTTTTTCTTTGCTTTTTTTCATGTGCAGGTGTTACAATAACAATGAAGGATACCAACAAAAGGTCATCAACTGTTTTGAGTTTTTTTCTCTGCTGCTTTTCTCTTCCTTGTCCATATGTAATGATATTAACTAATACAGTTTTTTTTTTTAATTTGTTTACTTCTCTTTGAAAGGCAGAGAGAGTTTGAGGAGCTTTGCCATCTACTGTTTTACTCCTCAACTGCTTGGGAGCTGGGAATTCTGTCTGGATCTCCCACGTATGTGGCAGGGACCCCACTACTTCTGGCTCCCAGGGTGTGCACCAACAGGATAGCACAATTTGGAAGTGGATCTGGGATTCGAACCAGGAACTCCAGTATGGGATGAGAGCATCCTAGGTGGCATCTCAACCACTGTGCTAAATGCCAAACCTTAAGTATATTTGTAGTATATTTCTTTTTTTAAATTTTATGCCAAGTGATTATAGTAGGAAGAAATGAGAGTAACTGAGATGCAGATATCTTGGGTAATAATGGCTTCTTATTTTGATTATCTCTCTTTAGGAAAGACACCGCTGATCTTTTAACATGGAGGATTGTCTTCATACCTCATCTGAGAATCTGTCCAAATTGGTCAGCTGGGCCCACAGCCATGGGACCATTTGCAGCCTCATTCCAAACCTGAAACACCTGCTTTCTGAAGGTTCCCATGGGAACCTGACGGCAATGTGGGGCTGTAGTGCTGGCCATGCTTACCACTGGCCCCTAACAGCTACTTGCAGAGCTGGGTCCCAAGAGAGAGTGTGTTTCCAGGATAATAGAAGTTTTAACTCTGATAGTCCCAGTATAATCGGGGTGCCTTCTGAGACACAGACTAGCCCTGTGGAAAGGTACCCTGGGAGACCAGTAAAAGCAAAGCTAGACTGTAACCGAACCAGAGACTCCTGCGACTTCTCTTACTGCAGTGAGCCTTCTGAACTGGATGAGGCCGTTGAAGAATATGAGGATGAAAACACCCTCTTTGACATGGTTTGTGAGTCTTCTGTTACTGATGAGGACAGTGACTTTGAACCCCAAACCCAAAGGCCTCAAAGCATTACACGCAAAAGGCCTGGAGTGGTGCCATCTTCCCTCCATTCAAGCTCTCAAGCGCAGATGATGGATGAATGCAGCAATGATGTCATCATCAAGAAAATCAAACAAGAAATTCCAGAAGACTATTACATTGTGGCAAATGCAGAGCTGACTGGAGGAGTAGATGGACCAGCTCTGTCATTGACACAGATGGCAAAACCCAAGACTCAGGCTCATGCTGGTCCATCCTGTGTTGGGTCTGCTAAGCTTGTTTCTCATGTCACATCTGCCATCAGCACGGAGCTGGACCCACATGGTATGTCTGCATCCCCCTCTGTGATCTCCAGACCAATCGTCCAGAAGACTGCGAGGGTGTCTCTGGCTTCACCAAACAGAGGACCCCCTGGTGCACATGGCACCAGTCAGCAGGTAGCCATGCAGATGCCTGTGAGCACATCCCATCCTAACAAGCAGATCAGCATCCCTTTGTCTGCCCTGCAACTTCCTGGACAAGATGAACAAATTGCTTCGGAAGAGTTCCTGCCCCATCTGCCCAGCCAGGTCTCTTCCTGTGAGGTGGCCCTTTCTCCTTCAGTCAACACAGAGCCAGAAGTGAGCTCCAGCCAACAGCAGCCCCAGGTCGCACCAACCATAACCACTGAGGCCACAGCACAGTGCATACCAGGTATGGTGCATGAGGTGACACCAAGTCCCTCATCCGCATACGTCAGAGAATTCTGCGCCGTCAGCACTTCTAACACTGTTGTCTCAATTTACTAGAATTCAGTCCTTTATTTTTCTCAAAAAGATAAAAATGATAAAGTAGATTATATCTAGGCAATATGATGAAGGGAATTCATTGGATATGGTGAGGCAGTCATCCAGCTGTCAGGTCTTAGGGCCAAGAGGACAACTACAGGATTGGGCTGTTGATGCTGTACAGCTAGGTATAAATTTGCCGTCTGATCCTAAGCCACATATGTTGATAATGAAGTTATTCTTCAAAGCTTTTTAAAGGCTTTTTTTTTCTGTCAAGCTGAAGATATTTATTTGCTGTTTGAGGTCAAAATTGTGTTGACTGAGGCATTTGATAATAATAAACCTAATGCTTTTCTATTACCATTTATTTTGTCCGAAACAATTTGCGTCACTGGTCATTAAGGTTGGCATGTGGCTTAAAACAAATTTTTAGAAAGGAAACAAATATTCCTAAAAACCGCGTTGGACTTTTTTGGTCAAAACTGAAGAGTCAGATAACTTGCCCCTTTGTCATGTGAGCCTAACTGGAATGGATTGAGAGGAGAGTGAGATAATTACACAAGGCTTCTCCCTGTGATGCTCGCATTCTGACACTGAGTATTTAGTTAACATGGGTTATTTGAGTCTCATGTCTCTGGGTTCATGATTCAGATCTGCCAGGCCAGAACTGGATGGATACCCATGGAATACTGAAATCTGCTCTCTACACATTTTCATTTCTCTTCATTCCTTCTCAAAAATAAGTATTTTAGAAAAGCTTCCTAGAAGCCTGAAGCACATGTGTCCTTTCTTTGAAAAATCTTAGAAATAAATTGCTTTACCAAAAGGTTTTCTAATTTTAATGTCAACTAAAATCTAGATTCCCCAGAAGTAATCTTTCATTTATGATTTTGTAGCATAGTTTAATAAAGTATATACTGAAAAGTATTCCTATCTTGAGTAGAAAATGTGTGTTTCAGTTTGTTCATTTTTAGAGAATGACTTCTTATATCATAATGTTTATTATTTTATAGTGTATGATTCAGTGGCTTTATGTATATTTAGAATTGTTCAGTTGTCACTGTTACCTGATTTCAGAACATTTTGATCACCCTAGAAAGGAACCCGTGCTCATTAACAGTCATTCTTGCCCTGCTACAGTCCTGGCGACCACTAATTTACTCTCTGCCTCCACGGATTTGCCTATTCTCTATGTTTCATACTAATTGAATCATAACATGTGCCTCTTTGTTACCGTCTTCTTGTAGCTAGCATCATGTTTTCATGATTAGTGCACTTTTTCCCTTTGTATTGCCAAATATTTTACTGCATGAATATACTGTATGTTATTCTTGCTTTCATCAATTGATAGACATTTGGATTGTTTCCATGTTCTGTCTATTAAGAATAATTCTGATATGAACATTTGTCTAAATATTTTTGTGTAAGCATGGATTTTCTTCTTGCTTAGGCAGCTACCTAGAAATGGAATTGCTAGTGTGTATTTTTTTAAAAATAGGTGACTCTGTGTGTTGAAAGTTTGTGTGGAGCTGCCAAACTATTTTGCAAAGCAGCTGCACTGTCTTAGAATCTCAGAGGCAGTGTCTGAAGCCTCCTGTCTCTTCACATTACCTCCAGCATTTGTTTTCCAAGTTGACAAGTAGGATAGCTGTCCTGTTAGTTGTGTGAGGCAGGGTCATTGTGACTCTGATGACTGGTGATACTGAGCTTTGTGTCATGTGCTTATTGGCCATTTGTATCTCTTTTGAGAAATACACATTTAAATCCTTGGCTCATTTTTTAGAAAAACAACTGCTTTTTTATTGGTGAGTTGTAATAGTTCTTTATGCATTGGACATGTAAGTCCCTTATCAGATATGTGATCTGCAAGTATTTTCTTTAATTTCGTAGGTTGTCTTTTTCTTTCTATGAAAAATAAACACATTTGTTTTTCTGTTTTGCTTCTACCACTGAATAACACTGTGGTCTTTGGCAGAATGCTGTCTTTATTAGGTTGGGAAAGTACCTTTTTATTTGACTAGTTGTGAATCTGGCTTATTTATTTGTTTCTCTTCCAACTCCTCTTTTTCCATGTAAATTAGCAGACCTAACCTGGTGATGTTTTCTGTATTTTTATTTAATTTACATTTGAGGATGGAGTTCAGAAATGTACTTTGCAGAGTGATCCAGTATATCAAACAGTTTAATAAGACCATTTGCACACATCCTTCTGCTACTTACCCTGTAACACAGGATGTAAGATTTCCCAAAATCTGCCTAGTACAACACTAAAAGAGGTGCTGAGGCTCCTTACTAAACCACATGTGAATATCTTGCTATGTAGTTATTTTGGAAAAGAAACTGAGGCTTTTTTAAGAGGAAATAATCCATTTCTTATTGTGTATGTTGTGCTCTTTTAGGTTTTCTTCTTCCCTCATTAACATTGTACATCTTGACAACTATAAAAAGCAGGTATTTCCAAGAATAGCACATAGCATATACAGTCACAAACTTGGGCTTCACACTTACAAGGAAAATTGATTTGGCTTGGACTTGAGCTCTCAAAGAGAGCAGTGTGAAGAATTGGTAGTGGGAATTTCTCAAAGAATGATCCAAGTGTTTTGATCCATTGGCCTCTGGAAGGATATTATGTTACTCTACTGTTAGCATCAGAGAAAGACTATTTAACCTCGAATCTGTTTTCTGAATATTGATTTTTTATGTTTGCATATTTATTTATAACAAACCAGTCTTCATCCCAAACACAAAGTTAAATAGTGAAAAACTAACCTGTGCACCCATATAGGACTTATGTACAGACAGCCCTTACTCAGTCACTTAGGAAAGCACATGAGACGGAGCAGAAAGTGGGTTTAGAATGAGCGAGCTGAAGACGAGAGGAGGCTGTTAGACACAGACACAGCGGAAGCTTGGATTGCTATCACATCATTGAAGAAATACTGCCTATCTTCAAGTACTATTTTTAAAATGATTAATTTGACAAGTGACTGTTGAGTCTGCCAGAAACAAAGAAAAATTGTTTCATTTTGTTTAGTATTCCTGAAGCCATTTAAATTCTCCCAGTGGAAAATCATCCTTATTTCTGTTCAGAACTGAACTGATAAAGTCATAAAATGTTAATCAAGGTGTGGATACGATCGTTAATTTTCATGTCAACCCTACCATTCTTCTCAATCCAAATCTTAGCAAGCAAGGAGTAAAGAGGACTTACGTTATTAGAAGAATTATTGACTGTCTGCCAGTAGCTTAGATTCCGTTATTTTCTTAAGTTTTCGTGTTAAATATGAGGCATTTGTCATAACGAAATTAAGTCCATTGCATCATGAGTTGGATTTTTATAGGTATATGTAAATAACTATAGTCATATACCTAATACATGTGTGGTGTATAGAGAGAGAGAGAGAGAAAAGCTTCATTTATGATTTTTCACATGAATCTTTTTTATTAATCAGCTCTATTCCCAGAAATGTTATGGTAACAAGAAATCAATTTTTGCTTATCAGGTTTAGAATATTTATACCTCTTTTGATAATACCTATCTTTATCTTTTAGTATGTCCAAATATGTTTTTATATGTAACTCAACATGTATCATGCATATTGGGGAATACATTTCCCAGTTTACCACTGTTTTTTAACAATGCTGGTGACATTTTTGAGCTGTGTATTTTGTTTTTCTGAAAGCTGTTCTTTCAGCATCTGTTTGTCCTCTTTCCTGTACTTGCGTTTTGCTTATTAAGAAGCAAATTATAATTTATTATTGTTACTATTACCTTATAATTGTTTTTCTTTTAGTTCTTCCTTTTCCAGCTTTTAACTTTACAATTAGAGTATGTGTTTGGGGTGGAGTCTCACACTATTTACCAAATAATTCCCTTTTGTTATTGAATTGATTCAAATACCACATCTTCACAATTTCATCTATTTCTAGTTTTTAGTGGTTATTGATTATGTTATATTTTCTCTTCTAATTTTTAATGTTTGATTATATTTTATACAAAACACCTTCAGAGGAAAAGTGGTGTAGTCTCAATCATTTAACATGCTTTTTGAAAAATTACTCAAAATTGAGTTCATTGAGCTTTTAAAAATTACATATTAACATCCAGTTTCTTGGTCTGTATTGACACTATAAATAATAGTTACTCTTGTCAGAATCTGAGTTGAAATAAGTTAAAAGAGAGAGTGAATTGCCTTAGTTCAAAGCAGATCTCGAAGCAGGCTTTCATCCTGGCTTCCGACAGTGTGTTATTTACTGTTCACCATTCGTCACGGCGGCTCCCTCTCTGTAAGAGCCTAACCTGCTCGACTGTGGACGTGAGATGATTGTGCTGCTGATTTTCATGTCTAGTAGAAGAAGGAAGCTGTAGAGCAGCCCTTGCACGAACCCTGAACCCCTCGGGGGCCACTGAACTGCTGCCCTTGAACCTTATTGACATCAACCCTCTACCAGCTACGTAGCTCAGTGGGGTGGGGTGCAGATATTTTCCCAAGAATATTCTAAACACTATTCTTGTGAGGGGCTGCCAAGTCAGGTTGCCTGTAAACTGCTTATATACATATTATTTTCAGTTTTCTTCTGAACATTTAGTTTTCTTATGTAGGCAAATAGAATTGTTGTTTGGAATTCAGAGATATGCTGGAATAGTTTTCTAATATCAGGAATAGAAATTTGTATAAATGTATGTGCTTATTTACATTCTTGTATATGTGTATCTGTGTGTACACACGTATTTCCCAATTGCATAAAACGAATGCTCCTTCCAGATGGGGCAGGTGCTGCTGTAAAATAGACTAAGCTTCTTACTGTTGTGCCAGCATTCCATATGGGTGCCTGTTCATATCCTGGCTGCTCCCTTCCTGATCCAGCTCCATGTGTATGGTCTGTAAAATCAGTAGAGGATGGCTCAAGTCCTTGGGACCCTGC